AGTGTACAAATGGATTAAATGTTTTTCTGAGGGAAGAGAACGCATCACTGATGAAGAGAAGTCAGTTGGCCAGTAATGAGCAGAACTGAAGATAGCATTGCAAAAATTCGTCTAATTTTGCATCAAAATCATTGGCTGATTGTGAGAAGCATAGCAGATCAAGTCAACATTGATAGAGAAACAGTTAGGAAAATCTTAACTAAAAATCTTGGCATGAGAAAGGTGTGTGCAAAAATAGTTCCAAAGGCGCTCTTGCATCATGACAATGCACCAGCTCACACAGCACTGTCTGTGAGGGAGTTTTTAGCCAGTAAACAATTAACTGTATTGAACACCCTCCATACTCACCTGTTCTGGTCCCCAATAACTTCTTTCTTTACCCGAAAATAAAGGGACTATTGAAAGGAAGACATTTTGATGATATTCAGGACATCAAGTATAATACAATGACAGCTCTGATGGCCATTCCAGAAAAAGAGTTCCGAAATTGCTTAGAAGGGCGGACTAGGCGCTGGCATCAGTGCATAGATTCTCAAGGGGAGTACTTCAAAAGTGACCATAGTGATATTCAGCAATGAGGTATTTAGCACTTTTCCTAGTGTGAGTTCGCGAACTTAATTGTCAGGCCTCCAGAGAACATTCCATGCAACAGCAGTAGAATATACATTCTTCTCAAGTGCACATGGAGCATTCTCAAAGAGAGATCATATTATAGGACACTAAACAAATTTTAGCAAATATAAAAAGATTGAAATCATGTCAAATATCTTTTTTTACCTTAATGATATGAAACTAAATATCAACAATAAGAGAAAAGCTGAAAAATCTACAAATATGTAAATAACACACTGCTGAACAACCAATGGGTCAAAGAATAAATAAAAAATTTTCTTGAAACAAATGAAAGCAGAAATACAATATCGCAAAAATTATGGAATACAGCAAAAGCAATTTTGAGAGGAAATGTTATGGTGAAAAATGCACACATGAAGAAATTAGAAAGATCTCAGTAAACAAACTAACCATACCACAAGAAAGTAGAAAAAGAAAAACAAGTCCAAAGTTAGCAGAATAAAGGATCAAAGTCAACTGAAATAAGAGACAAGAAACATAATAGACAGGATTAACAAAACTAATAGACGGTTTTTTGAAAAGATAAAAAAATATTGACAAACCTTTAGCTAAACTAAGGAAAAAAGAAATAGAATACTCAAATAAATAAAACTAAAAATGAAAGAGGAGACATTACAACTCATACTACAGAAACACTTAGGACAATTGTATGCCAATAAATTAGATAACCTAGAAGAAATGAAAACATTCATAGAAACACAAAACCTACTGAGACTGAATCAGGAAGAAGCAGGAAATCTGAAAAGATCAATGATGAGTGAAGATATTGAATCAGTAAACTAAAACCTCCCAATACAAAAAATCTCTAGATCAGGTGGCTTCACTGGTAAATTCTGCCAAACATTTAAAGAAGAATTAATGCCAATCCCTCACAAACTCTTCCAAAAATTTAGAGTGATCACTTCCAAACTCGTTTTTTGAGGCCAGCATTACCCTAACGACAAAGCCAGATAAGGAAACTATAAGAAAAACAAAACTGATATCCCTGATAAATAAGATATAAAAATTCTAAATAAAATATTAGCAAACTGAATGCAAGAACACATTAAAATGATTATACACCATGACCAAGCAGGATTTATCCCTGGGATGTAAGTCTGGTTAACATGTGTAAATCAATAAATGTAATACACCACTTTATAGAATAAAAGATAAAAATCATATGATCATCTCAATAGATGCATAAAATGCACGTGACAAAATCAACATTATGTCATGATAAGAAACCTGGGCATTTTGGGTATATAAGGAATACACCTAAATATAATAAAGGTCATATACAACATAAACACAGCTAATATTATATTCAAGAAAAATTAGAAGTTTTTTGTTTGAGATCAGGAGCAAGACAATGATTCCTACTCTCTCCATCCTTATTCAATAATGCTGAAAATGCTAGCTAGAGCAATTATGCGAGACAAAGAAGTAAAGGGCATCCAAATCAAAAGGAAGAAGTAAAATTGTGACTTGTGCAGATGATATAATTTTATATAGAGAAAATCCCAAAGATTCAACCAAAAAACAAATGGAACTAATCAATAATTACAGTAAAGTTGCAGGATATAAAATCAACATAGGGAAATCAGTTGCATTTCTATACACTAATGATGAAACATCTGAAAAAAGAAATAAAGAAAACTATCCCATTCACAATAGCGTCAAAAACAATAAAATACCTAGGAATAAAGTTAACCAAAGAAGTGAAAGATATGTACAATGAAAACTACACGACTTTGCTGAAAGAAATCAAAGACAATACAAACAAATGGAAAGACACTTCATGTTCATGAATTGGAAGAATTAATATTGTTAAAATGTCCATATTACCCAAAGCCATCTATAGATTTTGTACAATCCCCATTAAAATTCCAATGGCATTTTAAAGAAATAGAAAAAAACAGTCCTAAAATTTGTGTGGAACCACTAAAGAACCTGAATAGCCAAAGCAATCCAGAGGAACAAGAACAAAGCCAGAGGCATCACGCTTCCTGATTTCAATCTATACTACAATGCTATAGTAATCAAAACAGTATGGTACTGGCATAAAAATAAACACAGAGACCAATGGAGCAAAATAGAGAGCCCAGGATGGAACCTCCACATACATGGTCAACTAATAATCAAGAAGGGAGCCAAGAACACCTTCAACAAAAGATGCTGGGAAAACTGGATAAATACATGCAGAACAATAAAATTGAACCCCTATATTATACCACTCACAAAAATTAACTCAAAATGGATCAAAGACTTAAACATAAGACCTGATACCGAAAAAAATCCTGGAAGAAAATGTAGAGGAGAAGCTCCTCAACATTGGTCTTGGCATTGATTTTCTAGATATGAAATCAAAAGCACAAACAATAAAAGCAAATCTAAATAAGTGGGTCTATATCAAACTTAAGAGCTCCAGCTCTTAAAGAAACAATTAACAAAAATGAAAAGGCAACTTTTGGAATGGGAGAAATTTTTTACAAACCAATACCAGATAAAGAATTAATATCCAAAATATACAAATAACTCATAAAACTCAATAACAAACAATCCGAATAAAAAATGGGCAGAGGAACTGAAGAAACATTTTTCCAAAGACACCCAAAAGGCCAACAGATACATGAATATGCTCAACATCGCTAATAATCAGGGAAATGCAAATCAAACCACAATGAGATATCACGTCACACCAGTTAGGTTGGCTACCATGAAGAACATAGACATAACAAGTGTTGGAGAGATTGTGCAGAAAAGAACACTTGTACACTGTTGGTGGGAATGTACGAGTAAATTGGTTCAGCTACTATAGAAAACAATATTGAGATTCATCAAGAATTTAAAACAGATCTGCCAAATGATGCAGTAATTTAATTCTGGGTATAAACCTAAAGGAGATGAAAACAGGATATCAAAGAGATATCTGCACTCCCTTGCTTATTACAGCATTATTCGCAATAGCCAAGATATATATACTGTAGAAACAACCTAAATGTCCATATCAGCTGATGAATGGATCAATAAGATGTGAGATATATAGAGACAGAGATAGAGATAGAGATAGATGAGAGAGAGAGAGAGAGAGAGAGAGAGAGAGAGAGAGAGAGAGAATGGAATATTTATTCAGCTATGAGAAAGGAGGACATCCTGCAATTTGCAACAACATAGACGGACCTTGAGCATATTATGCTAAGTGAACAAATCAGACAGAGGAATACAAATACTGTGTGGTATCATTTATATTTGGAATCTAAAAAAGCCAAACTTATAAAAACAGAAAGTAAAATAGTGGTTCCAGGGATTTGGGGGGTGGAGTAGAACAGATGTTGTTTATGGAAACAAACTTGTAACGAGTAGTAAATAAGCCCTAGAGACCCAATGCACAGTATAGTGAATATAGACAACAATATTGCATTATTATGATGCAGGATGAGTTGTTTGTGTGTCCGGGATTCGTGGTCTCGTAACAACAAAGAATGGAGACATGGACCAGAGAGGCAAAGTTTGCAGAAAAGAGCAGTTTATTAGAGCAAAGAGACACAGCTCTCTAAAAGAGAGGGAGCATCTGAAACTGGAGTGCCTGCAGACTAGAGGGGGAAGCCTCTATATATATGCTTTTCTTAGCCTATCTGGGGAGAAAGCTGGCACCTGTTTGGACAGGTCCGATTTATTACGTTAATTATTTTATCCTGGAGGAATATGATTTTCTAAAAAAAAAAAAAAAAAAAGTCTAGTTGCCTTGGAATGTTATTGGATCATCTGTGTAAAATTATCTTTAAAGATGTGTCCATAGGGAGTCCGGGCTGGAGAGTAGAGATATTGGTATTCCAGTTGCTTCAGTGCATGATTGGCATCTCTGTCTGGAGTTAATTATCTTTAAGGCTGTGACCATTTGACCATGGCTGAGAGCAGAGACCTTGGAAATATGTTTATCTTTGCTCATCCAACCTGGGAATTTCTAACTACCTAATTGTTATACTACCTAAACTGTCTTATAATCATCAAACTTGCTAAGAAACTAGAACTTATTGCTCCAACCACTAAAGAGAAAAGATCATTATATAACATGATAGAGGTGCTAATTAGCTCTACACTGGCAATCATATTACATATGATTCATAAATTATACACCTTAAATTTGTACAATGTTAGATGTCAAATATAATTCAATAATATTTTTTAAATATAGTAGCTAATCACAAATTCTTTTTAAACTACAACAGGCCAAGAAAAGGGGGATGAAAAGTAGAAGTTTCCCATATTTAAATAAATGGAACTTAGTTGTTTATGACACAGATTCCATCCAGAGCAGAGGCTTGGGGTTGGAGAGGAAAGGAAAGCCCAGTACCTACTGATGTGTTTGTCTTTGTCTCTTGCAGTTGACAGTTCCGGAAAAATCAGTAAGTTTGGATCACTTCCTTACCTTCCCTACTTCTGTGTCTAGGACCTTTCAGCTGTTGTTTCGAATTTTTTTTTGTATTCCATGTTCATCTACCTTAGAAAAGTCAGTATTTCCTAAGTAAATGATTTTCTTGTACCTTGATTCTCAATTATCTATTTTCCTTTTGTAGCAAAATATAATGATCTTGTATTTGATTCTAGTCATTTACTACCAAAGATTATTGGTAGCATATACTCCCAGCTAACTTACCACAAGACAGCCTGTTTTCCTCATGCTATAATCTGGTGACAGATAATTTTTACTAAAAAAGAAACCCCCCTAAAATCGATGTAAAGAATAAGTTTCAGGACAAGATAATGATTTTGATAATTGACCAACAATACACACTTTTCAAATGGATCTGAAGGAGAGTGGGTAAAAAAAACTGACATAAAAAAACAATGAAAGTAGGAAATGCAATTGTTTGAATTTTGGTAAAATAGGTATTATTTACCCAAGGATTCAATCTTCCACAGTAACTAAATGGCTCCCTAAAGATTACCTTCTCTGTGGAATAGGGTGGAGAACTTTGGCCAGCAAAACTCCTGAGACCGAAACGGAGGGTTTTACACTCCCTGGAGGTCCTGTTTCCACATTCACCTACCAAGGGGGCTGGTTCTCCTTAAGTTGAAAATTCTCATTGATCTTTCTTGTATGTTCTATTTTTAGCATTATCTCCTGTGGGTAAGTTCCTTATCTATTCTCAACTGTGATATTTTACACTGTTCATAGTTATTTTCTGACCTGGCTGTGTCTACTCCCAAAATAGATACTTGTGCTTCTAAAGTTATTTTAAATGTCCCTATTCTCCAGAATCAAGCAATATTTTAAGTAACTATTTTTGGAGAGATTGCTGTAGAGGAGATGAAATTCATACAAAAGAGTGTCTTAATCGCTGGCCGTCTTCTAGGCTCTGAAAAAGAGTCTCCTCACTGACTCCCAACAAAATATAATGAAAGAAAAATTGGTTTCTGAATTTCATTAGTTCTATGCTGGTAATTTAGAACTCTTTTTTTAGTTGTAAGTGAAGGCCCACTAATCATATTAATAGAAAAAAACTAGTTAAGAACAAAATCTTAACTACTTCCTGTTGCCTTCTAAATAACTTTACCTTTAAGGGATCGCAGCTATGGAGCACCTACTATGTACAGAGCACTATGCTAGGCATTTTCAAAAACAGTATACCTTATTCTTATCATGGTCTTGCCTGGTACTATTATTATTCCCTACTTTACAGATCAGGAAACTGGCTTAGACATTGGCCCAGGATTAAAGAGCTGGTAAACAGCAGTGTCAGGATCTAAACCCAAGACTTCCAGAAGTAAACACACCTCCCAGGCCGACACATTGCATCCTACACTGAACCATAGATGCTTTTTTGTGATTGGTCCTGAAACCTCATCTATAAATCAAATGTTTGTAAATACAAATATGCATCTACTAGAGAAGCTGTAAATTAAAAGTACACAAAAAGGTTCAAAATAGAAGACATCCATTTAAATTGATGTTCGGCTTTTAACTGTTTTCTAAATTCGGATTTCTCTATATCAGGATTATTTAAGGCATGGCTCAGCTCTTCAAGGAAATCATATGAAACAAAATCAAAGAATAACTTTCAAAACTCTATAAATATATAACCATAAGAAGCAAGTAAGACTTAACTATAGTGAGATGCATTTCAAGCAACTCAAACACTCCAAACATTGACAAACATAAAATGTGTTTTTATATTTAGTCATGTTTAAAGCCTTAGTCTTCTTTCTCAGTTTACACTAGAACAAGGGTGGGTTTGTGATTGGAAGAGGAGGTAAAGTTGAAAAGGACAATTATTTCCTTTTCATTCACAGTACAAGAGACAATGTGTATTCAGAGCAGCCATGATGTGTCTGTACCTCAAAAGCCCTCCCTCTCCACGTGGGAAGGTGACAGACTGTTTTCCTTACAAGGGCAGGAGGGCCATGAAAAGGGATCACAGGCCAAGTCCCTTTCTGAAGATGAATTCGTTTTTAATAAATATGGGGTTTTTTAGTTGCTGGGAAAATAATCAGTTTAATCTTTTAACTTTTTTCTTTTAATAGATATATTCTTTTTTACAATATTTCAAACAGATTCTTCCCAGTTGATAGCTTTAGTAAAAGGTGGTTAAAGTTTAATCCATTGTTCAAAGAAAGGTTTAAGACAAATCAGCCCAACAGACTTCACCTGTCAAGTTGAGTCCCTTATGTTCTCACCTCCACATGTAGCTAATGAGTACATGATCTTTTAAAGTAGCAGTTCTCAACCTATGGGTCGCGACCCCTTTGGGGGTTGAACGACCCTTTCGCAGGGGTCGCCAGGTAATCGTATGTGGGCGTATCTGCATGTGGGTGTATCTGCATGTGGGCCTGGAGACAGATAGAGGAGCGGGGTCTTGGTTCCTAAGACCATCGAAAATATGTGTTTTCTGATGGTCTTAGGAGACCCCTGTGAAGGTTGAGAACTGCTGTAATTTAAAGTGTTGATTAGTGGTCTGAGAACTCTAATGATTCATCTCTCTAGTGCTTAACAGATCTTGTAGAGTCTAGATATGACCATGCTCTCCCTGAAAGCCACTGGATTAAGAACCTAACATTAGTTTCCTAATAAAGCCCATGGCCTATTTTCTACATTATTTTAAGTATAATAAAATTAGAATTATTAATGTGATAACTATTTATTGATATCTTTCAGGTTTAACAAAAATGAACCCAATTTAAAATTTTTAATCAGCCCAAATACATTACAATGAACGCCAAGGTCTTGATTAAATCTTTCTATTGTACTAAAATTTTGTTGTATAGGCTACCGCCTGCAATAAATGGACATTCAGCCAAGGTTTACAAATATGTACATTACGGAACTTATGAGGTCCAAGTAAAGAAAATATTTATGCACCATCTAAAAATCTGGGAGAAGGGAGAGAGGAACTTAGAATTTTTGCCTTACTCCTGCAATGCAAAGTTGAAATAAAAGTGAATCTTAATTTGTCAGATAGCTAGTTTCCTGAAAAATTAATCTAGCAAATCTAATTTATGTTGACTAAATTCAAGATATAAAATATACAGCAAAAATATTAAAACAATAAAGGGTATGAAGATACTATTAGAAGTGACTAAAGGTATTTTTCAGAAGGGAAAAGAATAAAATTCTTTAAAATTCTACAAAATGAGGAAGAGTGTAGCTAGAATAAATACTGAATGTTTCATTAAATCCTACAATAATTATTTTTGATTAACAAAATCTATACAATTTAGGACATAAATTTAGGTTAAAAATGGGTCATGTAGTAAACATGAAACAAATTACCCATAAGAGATGGTAAAACTAAAAATTATTCATATATTAAGAAAGTCTGCTTGGTTAAGAGTACATTCCACAGAATTAAAATTAGAAGCTTCAATGGAAAAACACACTCTTCACACAACACCGCACCCCAAACAAAATTAGTGTCTACTGGTAGTACTGGCAGATATTGATATATTCTGGACTGTTTTTCTCAATACAGGAGTGCTTGGGATATAGTACCACTGATTTTTATTAGAAAATTGGAAATGGGTTTGTCTAGAATAAAATGTCAGTACCCATCTTATTGAACAAGCACGAGGGAGGGAAATACACAAAACGGTTCAAAAAGCATTAACGCAAGGCTTCTAATGCCATTTTTATTTTGGTATCAAAAGTTTAAAATACCAAAGAGACAACACTGGAAAACACTGAACTATGACATCCATTTTGATTTATAGTTACCTTCTTACCTAATATAGGTGTGCCTCACTTTTTGCAACTGATAAAATTCAGTTATGTGTAAGTCAGGTTATTGAACACAAACTCTAAATGTACCGAAACGCTTTCAATATTTAAAAAAGCCGAATAATTCTTATGCAAGAAATCTTCCTGTAATACAACTAACCATTCTTCTAAATTATTTATTTGGAACTAAGAATGCCTTGTCTTGATAGTTCAGAGAGAGTTGTTGCCTGTGCTATCTCATTTGGTCATAGCAACAGCTGATATTTACTGACTGTGTACTATGTTACATGCACTGTACTGCGTGCTTTACTTAGATAATACTATTTAATCCTCATAACACTTCTGTGAAGTGGCTACTACTATTGCTACCATTTTACAAATAAAAAAGTGAAGGTTGCCCAAGGTCACCTAGCTAGTTAGGTGTGGAGTCAAGATTTGAACCAGTCTATCTTTAAAGCCACACTCCTTAAAGTATTTGTCTAGAATCCTTAAATAACTACAAAGTGGGCATAGCAGAATAAAGATGAGGACTGAGACTTTGGGGATTAAATGGTTTACCCAAATAACGTCTGCTAGCAGGAATAGTAAACCCAGATGTTCTGATTCGGCTTTTAAATTCAGTATTCTTTCTACTATATTAATTTTTTTTTAAGATTTTATTGGGGACTTGGGGGAGGGGAACAGCGTTGGGGAATTGGGGAATGGGAACAGACAAGTTGGTTCTTTTGTTCTTCAGTCTAGTTGTGGAGGACATCGCTTCACTGGCCCATGTTGGTATTATCCAGGCGAGGCAGATCAGTGGCCAGCCACTGGATGGCCGCTCATGGCGGCTCTTGGCAGCGCATGCTGGCTGCCGGCCACTCATGGTTGCTTATGGCAGCCCACTGCAGCTTCACTGCAGCCTATGCCATTGCCAGTGACTGATGGCAGCCCAGCTCCAGGTCAAGCTGTCATTCACCATCTTAGCTGTACAGGGTGCAGCGTCACTGGCCCTAATGTGGGATCTGAACTGGGGCCCTGCTGCTCAGAGCTGGTGTCCCAAGCCAAATCTTAACTAACGTGCCACTCGGCCAGCCCTGATATAGTAATATTAAATGTTAGATTTTTTCAAAGCAAGATATACCTCTGCTCCATAGCAAGAATCCACGCAATTCTTGGTAGCACAGATAGTCTTTTTTTTCTTAATTCAGGGGATCAAAACACTAAAAAATAATAATAAAAAAATAAAACTTAAAAAATAGAAACTAACAAATTCAAGTTTATCAGATAACACAGAAATGAGGCACAGCAGAGCTGACTTACCTATACATCATAAAAGGGACCTAAAATTTTTGCAAAGTGAGTTAGCAGATATTGCAAGAAACAGTCTAGGGTAGTGGTTAAAACTGAACTCTGGAGTATGACTCCTCAAGTTCAAATCCCAACTCCACCACCTACTAACTTCATGACCATAGTCACATTAATTTAAACTTTCTTTGCCTCAGTTTCTTCATCGGTAAAATGGGGATAATAATAGTACTTACCCTACATGGTTGTTGTGAGGGTTAAATGAGTTAATACATATAAAGTGCTCAGAACAGCGAGTGCCTGGTGTGTGGTAAGCACTTAATAATTATCAGCTAGTACTATTATTATTTTTGCATAATGAAATGTGCTTTTATTCGATATGGAAAGCATATTTTGAGTTTCCTTTTTCTATTTTAAGAAACAATTATTGCTTTGTTCCACAATTTTTCTGAAAATAAATTCTCTTTCTTGTCAGAATACATCCTTCTTTAGCTATTAAGCATTATTTATTAGCTTTAATATACTGAACAAATGCCAGTTCATTTATAGTACATTTTACCTTTTCTCTCATTAACCTTCCAACTTATGGAAAACAGTCTGGAATATTATCAATCAATGCTTACTATAATTTTATGTGTAGCATTCCACCATTATATATTTTCAGGAAAAACTCAAGTTATGTCCAATTTATCAGTTTTAAGACAAAAGAAAAAGAAATCAATATCAGAGGGAAAAGTAGAAATAAAGAGAAAGTACTTGATATCTGAATCATGCACTTTTGTTGTGTGCTCAGTTATACTTCCAGGTTACATGGATGGAGAACTTGCAAAAATATCAGTTACCAAAGACCCGGTTCTAAAAAATAGAGGCACTACAAAGTCTAAGATTGGCCAAGAAGAAGACAAGGAAGCACTGAAGAAGGAAATATTATTCACAGATTCTGATGAGTCCTTCACATCAATGTGCAAAACTGAGTCCAAAAGCAAAGCAAAAGGCATTGCGTTGGAGAAAGACAAGATAAGAACAGAGGTCAAGGTTAAGGAGAGTGACACCGGAATACTGAAAACACAGGAAGCCCAAGAGAAGGAGAGGGACATGGGGATGCCAAAAAGACAGGGAGCCCAAATTAGGAAGAGTAAAGTTGGGATACCGCAAGGCCGGGGAGCCCAAGTGAGGAAGAGTGAGGCCGAGATACCGCAAGGCGGGGAAGCCCAAGTGAGGAAGAGTGAGGCCGAGATACCGCAAGGCCGGGAAGCCCAAGTGAAAAATGAGAGTTCTGAAGATGAAGGAAAGCAGAGCAAAGAAAAGGGAGATGCTGAAAGGAACATAGATACAAAACAAAATGATGCCAAAAACAAGAAAGGTGATGAAGAAAAGGGCAAAGTTAAAGGAAAGAAAGAACCAGAAGTCAAGGATAAAAAAGAATCTTCAAAAAGGGGCAGAGGAAAGTAAAGGAAGGAAATACAACAAAAGGTGGAAGAGTAAGAGTAAATAAAAGGAAGACCATGAGACAACGGATCATTAAGATTCCCATCCCCCCGGATCCAAGTCATGTCCAGTCATTGTTTAAGTGAATCATAATTATAGAATCCCTTTAATCTATACATCTGCAGAGTTTCTGCTCTTTAGAAGTGTCATCCTCTCAGCAACAAACCTCAGCTTCCAACTGTTTTATAAATTGATACTTATATTAGTCAAGAAAGACTGGATACTTTCTGAAATAAAACATTTTGATTAAATAAATGTATAATAATTTCCTTTGCCAAATACTACATCTCTGTGATAGCCCAACCAACCAACCAATAACTTTTCATGGTGGCCTAATGTTGGCAAGGCACTGTTCTAGCAATAAGGGGTAAACAGAAAAACATAAGTCAGAGTCCCTGCACTCAAGTAGCTTGTAACATATATAAGTGATAAGACAATTAAAAACAACAAAACATCTAAGTGTCAAAATGTAGTTTCCATGGACAATATAATAGACGTTAGCAACCCCTTGGGATAAGACGGCAAAGGGAATACCTCCATGGGGAAAGGAATGGTGGAATGTGACACATCTCAAAAGATGGGTAAGTTGCTGATATGCTGATGAAGTAGAAACAGCAGAAGAAAGGCAAAGGGATTCAAGACAGCCATGCCATGCTCTCTGGGAAGTAGGCAATTTTATTGTTGCTGCGGGTTCATGAAAAGGATTCTGGGGTATAATTTTGAAAAAGAGGGTTAGAAGATTCTGAGGAGATTAGAAACACAAACCTGGAATTGATATTATACTCAGCAGGCAACAGGAAGCTTTCTGGGGTATTTGTGAAGGAGAGTCAAGTGAATGAAGTAGCATTACAAAAAAAAAAAAAAAGTTAATTTTGTGCAAAATAGGTTTAAGAGGAGAAACACTATAGGTAGTAAATCTAATTAAGGGGTGCTTGGAATCATAAGTGATGGAAAGAGAATAAATAGAAGGATTATTATAGATCTGAGATTTTATTTCAAAGAAGAATCGCTACTTCGTGATGACTGACAGTATATGAGAAAGGAAAAGGGGAACAAAATTTGATGACTCCATAGCTTTTGAAACTGGGTGACAGAAAATCATTAACAAACTAGGAGCTAGTTTGTGGGACAGGGGAGGAACAAATTATTGAGTTTAAAGGGACAAATAATAACATCATTTGAGAGGTCTGTAGTCAATCCAGTAGAAGTAACAATAGAACCCAGAACAGTAAATGAGCTCCCCAAAGGGGACGTACAGAGCTAGCAGACACAGGAACAAGAGCTGAGCCTGTGCTATGTAATAGCTTGAAGAAGAAAATTAACTAAGATATGGGAAGACATAAGGAAAACCTGTGTAATGAATGTTCTGATAACTAAGGAAAATTGGAGTTTCAAAAAGAAAGGATGATTAGAGGATAGCCGAGAGGTCAAGGACCATAAGGACTAAAAGACCCCATTAGTTGCTATTTGGAAATGGCTGATGAACTTGTAAAGAGCACTTTCCAAAGAGAGGTAGCCAGGAGAGGAATTTAAGCAGGCAGAAAATAGAAACACCGGTAAGGAGTTGCAGGATGTGCCTTCCAATGAAGTCAATTTTAGTCTGCTTTAAAAGTATAGATTTTAGAAATTTTATTTTTATACTACTCATTCTGTGCTGGTTAGCCCATACTCTGAATATTATATTCAGTTCTGTCATGAGATGTGGATAAACCTTGAGAAGAGACAGATTATGATGGTAAGGGGACCCAAATCATTGCAAGTGAATAGGAAGTTCCACAGTTTCATGTGGGGGGAAAAAAACATAACAAGGAGACAATAAGAATTATTTTCAAATATATGAAGGTTCATCACAGATTAGAATATTTTGTATGGGCCCAAGGAAATAGCACCAGTGAATGAAAGGTTCAAGGTAACAGATTTTATCTCAACATAAGGGGCAGGGGGATGCCTGGAAGAGTTTAAGCAAGAGTGTGAGACTGTGTGATCATTTAGTGGGAATGTTCCAGAGGACAGTCTCAGGAACCAGTGAGTGGCTGGAACAGATTATCTTTAATGAGTCTATAATTCAAAGTATAAAATTCTTTTTTTTTTCTTTTAGTTGAGCCATCCTGCCACCTGTTGGCAGCTCAGCGACAGCTCAGCTCAGGCCAGCAAAGTATAAAATTCTTTTGGACTAACTATATATCTTCCAAGGAACCTTTTCAAAGTAATCTAATATGCTAGAATTCTTTAGAAAAGTTTGAGAGAGAGAGAGAGAGAGAGAGAGAGAGAGAGAGAGAGAGAGAGAGCCCATACTTTCGTCCCTGCCCAAAGTATAAAATGTTTCCTAAATGGTTCATGCTACCTAACTAACCACAAGCTGAACAGAGCAGCTCCACAGCTTCCAGCACAATCCAGACCACTGTGTGGGTCCCTACCATCTGCTCGCAGCCCAACCACAGTGTAGAAGCCTAAGTTGCGAAGTCACAAAACCCTGAGGCCTTCAATGAACCACATGGCTTTAGCAAGACTGAATAGCAAAAAATAAAAGGTGGGGAGAAGAAGGGGGAAAACATGGAACACGAAATATTTTTATTGTAAATTACTTGTATGCCTCTGGAGCATACTCATTTAGAGATTTTACCAGCCTTAGTTGACTTAACCGTTGTAAATAGTATGCTGTTATCAGGGGAAAATGTGACCAGAAGGCTTTTAATACAGTAAAAACATTCAGATTTTCATGATCCTTATGTCATTGTTTTATAGCTCTCTCTGGTCCATCTATAGAAACTACCCTGTATTTTCGACATAACTTCAAACTTGCAGTAAAAATATTTTCATTCCTACTAGGTCATTGAAGGTCATTCAATAGGAAACTACAACTGTGAAAACTGTGTAAACCATTCTGTAAAGGCCACCAAAACACAGGCCAACTAAAAACAATTGTCAATCCTCAAAGATACAGATATGGAAATCTTAAAAGACCCCAGGAAAAGGAAGGAAAAAAGATGGGCTATCAAAATGACACCATGTTTAGCAAAATGATATAAATATTAGGAAAATTAATAAGTATATGTACTTTCAAGATAGGCTTGAAATAAAGGTAGGAATATGGGACTTAGAAACTATTAACGGTGGATGGTAAATTTTATTGTACAAATAAGCTGACATAGATGTCAAAGGCCCTGTTCACAAGAACAAGCAGAAACAAATATCAAAACTCCAAGTCGATTGCTAAGAAAATAGCTCTTAAAAGATTTCATCACAAGGAAAAGAAAAATTTGTAACGACGTGAGGTGACAGATGTTAACTAAACTTGTAGTGATCATTTCACAATATATACATATATCATTATATTGGACGCCTTAAACTTACACTGTGTCGTATGTCGATTATAGCAATAAAACTGGGAGGGAATCAAGTCTTACACCTTAAATATATACAATTTTTTGTCAATTATACCTTAATAAAAGTAAAAAGAATGAGTGGAAGCCTTACCATTAGTTACTTTATGTTCAGAAGAGCATAAGGACATGAAAAGCAGAAAAGTGAATTTAAAGATGATGAAGTTGAATAAGAAATGCAAAGATACTGGGAAATAAACAATTTACATAAAATCAGCTAGTGTGGCTCTTATTAAAGATTCTCTGGGTTAGCATTGCATTAAAAATGTGATTTTCCATTGCCTCCAAATATCTCTCACCCTAGGCTTTAACTGGCATATCTAGGAAGTGAATGCAGGGAGCTGGTAAAAGGGGGAAAGCATAGAGCTTGAAAACAGGATCCAAAGGGATAAAAGGACAAACTGAAACTGATCAGAATATTCAGTTTTATATTTGATGAAATTCCATTGCTCTCCCCTTTAAAACAGTTCAGAATAGGAAAAACCACCAATGTCCCTACTCTGTAGCTGGGAGGTTCCAATTAGGTTTTGAAGAAATAAAAGCCCAATTTTCTAGTGTTTAAGGACTAAAGATGCTTTTATCCTTCATCATCCAGAAGACTGAGCAGCTGCCAAGACTGGGAAGTCAAACCTAAGAGATGCCACATTGTAATGGATTATACACGTTGTAACTCAGGTCTCGAAAGTATTTAAATCTTCGTTAAATTTCTCTTCAAAAATTAAAAACTCACAATGTTATCAGTGTCAACTTCCTGTGAATCTCTCCTATCTTAAATCCATGCAATATAAATATATATGCAAATAGGGTCAAACTATCCACATTATTCTGCAACTTGGTTTCTTCACCTCACAGTATATCGTGTACATCACTCCAGGTCAACAGACATCACTCCAAAGCATTATTGTTATAGTATAGTGTCCAGTACTGTGAATTCATCTCCTTACAGATGGTCATTTGGCTTGTTCCAGCTTTTTGTCATTGGCCATACAGTGCTACAATTGCCAAATGGTGCTGGAATAAACGTCTTCGTACGTAAGAATTTTATTTCTCTAGGATAATTTCCAAAAGTGAAGCTGCCTGGTCACTGGAAATATGTTTGTTGTTTTTTTAATTTTTTTTTTATTGTTAGTTTCAGGTGTACAAAACAATGCAATAGTTACCCTTTTCACCCTCACAAAGTAAGGAAATATGCATTTTTAATGTTAGTAGGTATGACTTTTCCTATAAATTTATAAAAATTCACATTCTGACCAGGAATGTGTGAGAGTTCAACTTTCCATACATTATTTCACTGATGCTGCAAACAGTAACTTTTTTAATTTTTGTCTATTTAATAAGACAAGTGGTATCTAATTCTTGCTTTAATTGCAGTTTTCTGAATACTGGTGAGACTGAGCATTTTTTCATAGGCTTTATTACGCTTTTGGACTTCTGTGAATTACTCATTTTTCAAGCTGATGGTTTGTTCTTTTCTTATTCAGTTTGTAGGTGCTTTTTTTAAAGATTTTATTGGGATATTTGGGGAAGAGAACAACATTGGGGAATGGGGGAAGGGGAACAGACAAGTTGCTGTCCTTTTGTTCTTCAGTCTAGTTGTGGAGGATGTTGCTTCACTGGCCCATGTTGGTATTATCATTGCGNCCGAGTGGCTCAGTTGGTTAAGAGCTCACTCAAGAGTTTGAGCTCTGAGCAACAGCGGTTCGATGCCCGGCCCAAGCTAAGCTGCCAATAGGTAGCAGGATGGCTCAGCTAAAAAAAAAAAAAAAAAAGAAAATCATGATGGGGGACAGTGGGTGTTGTAATGGTGGCACTAAATCTTCTATTTTGAGATTTGAATCTCTGGTATAATTCAATTTAACAAGTGTAATTTAGCTTGGGACTTTTTGAAAGCTTTCTTTGCCTCCTTTCCAAAAAACCTTAATGACTTTGTTTACTGTATATTTACTCTGCATATATGGTGACTTGGGAGAGGATTTGCATCTATATGGAATCCACTCCTGGATCCAACTTAAATCTTCATAACATATGCAAAGGTTGTTATAACAAATTTAACTGCACCTTCCCCCACCCCAACGGACAAAGCCAAACTCAATGGACAATTTCTTTACAAGCTGAAGCAACTTTCGTCCTGGTTAGAAAATATAAAAATTCAGGTGAAACGAAGACTCGACGCAATAGTCTCCAGGAGACTCTGCCCAGCCGACCCTCTTCTTACTTTAATAAGACTTCCTTCTTTATTTCTACCTGACTGGTGAATGCTTTCACAACCCGTGAGCGAGCAACCACAACAAATGACAAAGCTACATGACAAGAAGGCAGTCCCTCAGATACACCGAAGTGAAGATACACATCAGGGAGGCGAGACGGAAGGAGAGGGGAGGCTACTCCTGAAAGAGTTACTAGAGAAGTGCCCTCGGTTTCCAGCTTTGACTCCCCTGGGAAAACTCCGAATTCCCTGAAATGAAGCTGAAAATGGCTGGCTGGAACCTGACCTCTCTGTGAAAATGTCTTCCTTGCTGAGGAGACAGTAACTCAGAAAGCTGGAACCAGAGGTTCATGGTAGAAGGAGGAGTTAAAGTCCAAATCCTAAGAAGAAGGGATGAAAACGAAGCTGAAGACTCTGCCCTAAAGTTTCTGCCGAGAATGAGCACAGTCCTGAGTGACGAAGAATGTCCCACCTCACGGGAAACCAGCTTTTGCCCAGCCCTGTGAAAGCTGAATGAGAAGACAAGAATAAGAGATGCAGAGTCCCAGCTGGAAAGCAGAATTCCACTGAGATGGGGCTGTTTATATGGGTGAGGGCTGGGTGAGGGGAACAGCAAGGGATCCAATGGCAGCAGGGAGCCTTTATCTCCTCCCCCACCTCTGTCAAGAAGGGACAGGAGGAGGAAGAATGACAGGATGACAGTTGTAGTTCCAGAGAAACCCAGACACTAACGGAAGGAGCATCGGAGAAATGCCCCATCTCCTCTCCTTCCACCACATGTGCCTCCCATTGGCCAAACCAAGTGAGACGCCGCCAGCAAGAGGGCCTCCATGATTAATCTGTAGAGACCCGTATGCCTGGTCACAAAGCTGGGCAGGGAAAAGTGAGAAAGGATGGGGAGGAGAGGGCAACAGAGACTAACACAACAAAGAACAAATGGACCTGGGGGAGGAGTTAATATGAGAACCCACCCCCCATCAGTCATGAACATCTTCCCAGGTTACCCAACTACTGCTTCTGCCAGATGACAACCCTCCCCTTCACAAAGATGTGAGCACCAATGACAATCCAGTGACAAGCCCAGTGAATGGGGACTCTAGGTGCACACAGAAGTGGGAAAGGTAGCATGGCTGGCCGGGGAGGCTCTGGAGTGGGACAAAGCCGAGCCCTTGATGTCTCCAGGCCTGAAGCCACAGTGCAGCCCACCCTGTGGGGCCTGCAGAGGCCCTGTCACCACTTCTACCCCACCCACTGCTGCTGGCTGAGCCTCCAGGGAAAGAGGAAGTTGTGTGGCTGGGAGGTGGGGACTTCCCAGCAGATGCAAAACCAGGCCACAGGTGTGAGTTCTACAGGCTTCACCCTAGGAGCCTCCCCAGGGACAGCCCCATCCACCTCTGCCATCACTTCCTCCATGTCCCCACCCCCNGAGGCAGTCGCTCGCTGGCCGTTGGACGGCAGCTCACAGTGGCTCACGGCAGCCCACTGCAGCAGAGGCTGCAGCCTACGCCATCACTGGTGACTCACAGCAGCCCAGATCCAGGTTGAGCTGTTGTTCACCATCTTAGCTGTAGAGGGCACAGCATCACTGACCCTCATGTGGGATCTGAATGCGGGCCCTGCTGCTCAGAGCTGGCGTCCCAAGCCAACTCTTAAGCAACGTGCCACTTCACTGGCCTTGTAGGTGTTTTTTGTATATTAATGTTTTCTCTGCCATTTGTGTTGAAAAAATGGTCTCTCAATCTTCTTGTCTTTTCTCGGCACTCAATTCATCCAACCTGTCACCTACAATTATATCTTGAATCTGACCGCGTCTCACCTCCTTCATCAGGTAATCCATATCTCACCTGTGATGCTCTGATAGTCTCTAAACTGAACTTCTTGACTCCACTCCCCACTACCAGCCTATTTTCCCTACTGCAGTCAAAACCATACTTTCAAAATGTAAATTAAATCATGTTACTTCTCTGCTCAAGACCCTCCGAAGGCTTCCCAGTCCCCTCAATGTAACAGCCCAAAGTTTTATGGACTTCGAGGCCTTCCAGTATCCAGCTTCCGGTTTCCCCTCCAGCCTCGTCCCCCACGCTCTCTCCCTCCCAATCCCACAGCCACTGCGGTGGCCTCGTTGTTCTTCACACCTGCCAAGCATGTTCCTATTTGAGAATCTGCCTGGAACGCTTGCCCTCAAATATTTGCACAACTCATTTCCACAATTCTGTAAGATGTCGGCTAACATGACTACACTAACTAA